AAACAATGTATTCTTCCACGTGTTAGCCTTTGTCTCTTCAGTAACAATTATTACTCACATACATGTATTGCCTTGTTCAATTGTGACGTCGCAATATCAATATTGACATTATTTAGCACTGCTTCTGTATTGTATAAATACGTAATGCCTGTTCTAAAACATAACCCTCTCCGTGAGATAGTTGTAATTGTCAATACACGGGCAAAAGCTCACTTATATACTGATGTTTGGACACAAATGGCATGAGTAAGTGTGGGAAAAGTACTTTCCTAAATCCACATCAAAGACATGGTTATACGCAGTGAAGTTTCTATTAGGTTGTTGAATGTCAGTTTACCTGTGGTCTGACAGGGTGTGTCCCCGTGATCTCGTGCTCAACCGTCATCAGCGCTATCTCCGCATCGTGGTATGTTCTGGCACAAAGGAGCAAGTCAGGGCATTGTTCAACCCATTAAAGCCACATCAAGTGACCTCCGAACTGCTGCTGGACTGATGGCTGAGCGTCACGCTATCATGTGTATATCGTTGGCATTAACCTTCACAAACTGCCAGTAAGACAATGATCAGGGGCGCGGCATAGCCAGCGGATCGTGGTATCGTGCACTGCTTTAGTGTTGAACAGGCGGAACCTTCCTGAAGACCATGTTTGTCAATGGTATTACATGTCGTAAGCATAATTAATAATGCTAGCCCTCACAAATACATGCAAAGGCAAGTTAAGCGTTCACCTGAAAAAACACGGACACACATGGTTCACAGTAGAGAATTTTATATGACATCATTTTTGTCACTGATGCCTCAAATTTTGAAATGTCCTCCCCACGTCTATCATGTGTACGTTATGGAAAGTTTACAGAAGCCCGTAACCTTGATCAAACAGTTATTGAACCTTAAACCTTGTTAAATGTTGACACCAAACGCTGGATCGGCTGGAGCATTTCTCGACATAAAAAGAAAAGTCAACTATTGGAAAGTTGATTAAAAGCGACAAAATCCTTTCCATATTTTTAAGTGAGCTCTGCCAAACGCAGAGTCGATTGTACGATTCTATATCATGAGCATGTTTTTATAAATAACTACCAAATAGTGATGACACCAGGTGTTCACGGTGGGGTCGTCCTTGTGGACAGTGGGTGGCTTTTTTGGTCTTTTGAAACTCTCAATCTTTATGCCTAGAAATAACTATGAAAGAGATGAGGTGGTTTCACTAGTTTCCTTTATGTCCAGGTCACGTGGGTAAATTAGCGGAAGCTGTTTGAACATGAGTGAACGATATCAGATCATAAATATGGCAGGTCCTTGGTTTTGATTTTGCCAGTCCGGAAAGAAATTCCGTTGCACATGCAGAGAGAAACAGATCTGCAAGAAGGGCCCAGTTGGTGCCTATAGGATGCCTACTTCTTACCTAAACATCTCACCCCCAAAGTTTAAATCGATAATATCAATATCGTATCTCAGCATTTTTTCCAAGTGTCCATCTATCTCACAATCTTAATCTTAAGGTGCTCAAAAGTGTTCAAGCACCTCACAACCTAGGTCGTATGCTGGTCCCAAGTGTACATCTATCTCATAATCTGGATCGTATTATGGTCACAATTGTCCATCTATCACACAATCGACCGCATGATGGTCCCAAGTGTACATCTATCTCACAATCTGTATCGCATGATGGTCACAAGTGTCCGTCTCTCACACAATCTGGACCGTATGATGGTCACGGATGTCCGTCTATCACACAATCTGGATCGTATGATGGTCACAGATTTCCGTCCTTCATACAATCTGGATCGTATGATGGTCACAGATGTCCGTCTATCACACAATTTGGATCGTATGATGGTCACAGATGTCCGTCTATCACACAATTTGGGTCGTATGATGGTCACAGATGTCCGTCTATCACACAATTTGGATCGTATGATGGTCACAGATGTCCGTCTATCACACAATTTGGATCGTATGATGGTCACAGATGTCCGTCTATCACACAATTTGGATCGTATGATGGTCACAGATGTCCATCTATCTAACAGGTTAGATCGTATGGTGGTCACAAGTGTCCGTCTATCACACAATTTGGATCGTATGATGGTCACAGATGTCCGTCTATCACACAATTTGGATCGTATGGTGGTCACAAGTGTCCGTCTATCACACAATTTGGATCGTATGATGGTCACAGATGTCCGTCTATCACACAATTTGGATCGTATGATGGTCACAGATGTCCGTCTATCACACAATTTGGATCGTATGATGGTCACAGATGTCCGTCTATCACCCAATTTGGATCGTATGATGGTCACAGATGTCCATCTATCACACAATTTGGATCGTATGATGGTCACAGATGTCCATCTATCTAACAGGTTAGATCGTATGGTGGTCACAAGTGTCCGTCTCTCACACAATCTGTATCGTATGGTGGTCACAAGTGTCCGTCTCTCACACAATCTGTATCGTGTGGTGGTCACAAGTGTCCGTCTCTCACACAATATGTATCGTATGGTGGTCACAAGTGTCCGTCTCTCACACAATCTGTATCGTATGGTGGTCACAAGTGTCCGTCTCTCACACAATCTGTATCGTATGGTGGTCACAAGTGTCCATCTATCTCACAATCTGTATCGTATGGTGGTCACAAGTGTCCGTCTCTCACACAATCTGTATCGCATGATGGTCACAAGTGTCCTTTTATCACACAATCCGGACCGAATGATGGTCACGGATGTCCGTCTATCACACAATCTGGATCGTATGCTGGTCACAGATGTCTGTCTATCACACAATCGACCGTATGATGGTCACAGATGTCCGTCTATCACACAATCTGGACCGTATGATGGTCACAGATGTCCTTCTATCACACAATCGACCGTATGATGGTCACAGATGTCCTTTTATCACACATTCTGGCCCGTATGATGGTCACAGATGTCCGTCTATCACACAATCTGGATCATATGATGGTCACAGATGTCCATCTAATCTAACAGGTTAGATCGTATGGTGGTCACAAGTGTCCGTCTATCACACAATTTGGATCGTATTGTGGTCACAAGTGTCCTTTTATCACACATTCTGGACCGTATGATGGTCACAGATGTCCGTCTATCACACAATCTGGATCATATGATGGTCACAGATGTCCATCTAATCTAACAGGTTAGATCGTATGGTGGTCACAAGTGTCCGTCTATCACACAATTTGGATCGTATTGTGGTCACAAGTGTCCTTTTATCACACATTCTGGACCGTATGATGGTCACGGATGTCCGTCTATCACACAATCTGGATCGTATGATGGTCACAGATTTCCGTCCTTCATACAATTTGGATCGTATGATGGTCACAGATGTCCGTCTATCACACAATCTGGATCGTATGATGGTCACAGATTTCCGTCCTTCATACAATTTGGATCGTATGATGGTCACAGATGTCCGTCTATCACAAAACCTGGATCGTATGGTGGTCACAAGTGTCCTTCTATCACACAATCTGGATCGTATGGTGGTCACAAGTGTCCTTCTATCACACAATCTGGACCGTATGATGGTCACAAGTGTCCGTCTATCACACAAGCTGGACCGTATGATGGTCACAGATGTCCGTCTATCACACAACCTGGACCGTATGATGGTCACAGATGTCCATCTATCACACAATCTGGGTCGTATGCTGGTCACAAGTGTCCTTCTATCACACAATCTGGATCGTATGATGGTCACAAGTGTCCTTTTATCACACAATCTGGACCGTATGATGGTCACAGATGTCCGTCTATCACACAACCTGGACCGTATGCTGGTCACAGATGTCCATCTATCACACAATCTGGGTCGTATGCTGGTCACAAGTGTCCTTCTATCACACAATCTGGACCGTATGATGGTCACAAGTGTCCTTTTATCACACAATCTGGACCGTATGATGGTCACAGATGTCCATCTATCACACAATCTGCGTCGTATGCTGGTCGAAAGTGTCCTTCTATCACACAATCTGGACCGTATGATGGTCACAAGTGTCCTTTTATCACACAATCTGGACCGTATGATGGTCACAGATGTCCGTCTATCACACAAGCTGGACCGTATGATGATCACAAATGTCTGTCTATCACAAAATCTGGATCGTATGATGGTCACAATTGTCCATCTATCACACAATCTGGATCGTATGATGGTCACAGATGTCCATCTATCTAACAGGTTAGATCGTATGATGGTCACATATGTCCATCTTTCTAACAGGTTAGATCGTATGATGGTCACATATGTCCATCTATCTAACAGGTTAGATCGTATGATGGTCACAGATGTCTGTCTATCACAAAATCTGGATCGTATGATGGTCACAGATGTCCATCTATCACACAATCGACCGTATGCTGGTCACAGATGTCTGTCTATCACACAAGCTGGACCGTATGATAGTCACAAGTGTCCGTCTATCACACAATCTGGACCGTATGATGGTCACAAGTGTCCGTCTATCACACAATCTGGGTCGTATGATGGTCACAGATGTCCATCTATCACACAACCTGGGTTGTATGCTTGTCACAAGCGTCTATCCGTCTCACAAACTGGATCGCATGGTGGTCACCAGTCTTCATCTCTTTCTGAATTGTATAATTGTATAATGCTCACAAGTGTACATCTCTTGCAATCAGGACTTTCAATGTTTAAATATGGTTTGTTCGATGATTTAAAGAAATTATTATATGGTGAAATAGGTGACTAATGGTATTAACTTCTGCAATGACAAGATGAAAGATGCTGTAAGTGTAGTATGTGTAGACAATAAGTTTCAACAAATATTTCTCTCATTATGGTGTATATGCGGCACACATCTCCACACATTACATATATTCGGGTGTTCAACAAACACTTATAACATAAACTATAAATAGAAACAATTGAGAACGGCCAATGAAATCAGAGACGGTGTCACGTGATGTCCATATATCATTCAGTAGGTCCGTAAAGAAGCTATAGTTCGCGTCGTTTCGTAAAGCAGGTTTCAGTCTAGAAATCAACTTTCCCTTGCAGTGGAGTTGACGAGTATTCTGGATTGGGTCCGTACAAGAGACTGTTCATAGATAACACACCAGTCGGTATGTGAAAATTTGTGTTTGTCAATTGGCATCAACATAAAAGGTATGTGTCATCAGCATTTTTTGTAATGTATTTCTAAGAATACATCTGTATTGGATCTTAGGATGGTTTCTTTTTCATAATGATATGGCATACCCCTGAGCTATTGAGGGAGAGTAACTACATCATAAACTACTGGCATATAGACCTTATTGAGAGTAATTCTGATGATGATTTTTTATAAAGAATAACCTTAAGACACATATAATTCAAATGGGTATGAATGATGTTGATAGACTTATTATTATCATGATTGTTTATTGATTATTACATAAACAAGCATGACATAGATGTTAAATAATATGAAAGTTTTCACTTACAGTCTCTGATGGAAATTCACGGCAGAATGTCCCCACCACGAAGCGTTCTCAGTGTAGTGTTGTTTGTTGGATTTGTGTGCTGTAAGTGTCTGTTAATTATCAAAGAAAATATAAACATTATGTATTTACTATATAAGTATACCGAGAATATACCAACATTCCTTTGCTATTGTCATGTGAGGTCATTGATCGGGGATGTTATGACGTCAGCACGGTGTACAGCCCGAAGAGGCACGTGTGTGTGTGTGTGTGTGTGTGTGTGTGTGTGTGTGTGTGTGTGTGTGTGTGTGTGTGTGTGTGTGTGTGTGTGTGTGTGTGTGTGTGTGTGTGTGTGTGTGTGTGTGTGTGTGTACGTGTGTGTGTGTGTGTCTGTGCGTGCGTGCGTGCGTACGTCCGTGCGTGCTTGGGTACGTGCGTGCGTGTGTGTGTGTGTGCGTGCGTGCGTGCGTGCTTGCGTGCGTGCGTGCGTGCGTGCGCGTGTGAGTGTTTGTGTAAAATTGATATAAATATAAAATATATACACACACACAAAAGAAAATGAGAAATAAACAAATATATGATTACGAATGTAAGTAATTAGATATAGAGTATAATATTTGATGTATCATTTTCATGTCTTTACTTGCTCTCCATATTTATGCCTTAGTTCCTGTTAAATTTATCATTCTATGTATTTTATTCATCTGTACTTTATCTTAGTTAATTTGAGTAATGGGATACATTGAGGGGTTGTGTCGCTGTGTAATTATCTTTCCAGTGTTTACTGCATTAATGTCCTGTATTTCTCCGTTTGCTATGATAACATACTTTCTATTCTGTGGTTTCAGTTATTAATGCGTCATTCGATTGTCGACGCCGAGGACAGAGATGCGAGAACGGGGGTACATGTTCAAAAAACGCGGCAAACTGCACGTGCGCGCCTGGATTCGACGGATACGACTGTTCGATTAATAGTAGTAAGTATTATTAATATCTGTAGGCGATTAACTAAAACTATATTGTTTATGGTGATTTATTTAACATCATCATCATCATCGTCGTCATCATCATCAACAACAATATCATCATTTTAATCGGTGAAACAGAAAAACGAGCCATACATGTAGCCACTGACACAAGCAACTTTTGGGGACTAATTAGATTTATGGCCCCAGGTGTTGGTTTTATCCCTTGACATTTTACCTGGTCTATGATCAACTGTTGACTGTTTTACCTGGTCTATGATCAACTGTTGACTGTTTTACCTGGTCTATGATCAACTGTTGACTGTTTTACCTGGTCTATGATCAACTGTTGACTGTTTTACCTGGTCTATGATCAACTGTTGACTGTTTTACCTGGTCTATGATCAACTGTTGACTGTTTTACCTGGTCTATGATCAACTGTTGACTGTTTTACCTGGTCTATGATCAACTGTTGACTGTTTTACCTGGTCTATGATCAACTGTTGACTGTTTTACGCTATTCGTGTTTTAACTTTATTCATCATACCGAATACGAAGACATTTTTCTGAATGTATGAGTCACTCCGCATGTAACATTACAGTTACAACGTATGACAATTACTAACACCGTGTGTGTTCATGAACACATTACAAATCATCAACGAAATAGGAAAACTACATACAATATTGACTCCTAATTTTCTCCCTTTCTGAGCGTGTTTCTACACGTTTTAGCAACAGGCCAAGCGTCTGGGTTAGGTATAATACAAGGTACTATTGTGGGTATGGGAATTATTTTTAAAAGTCAAGACAAATAGTTTTCTGAACTGTTCCCGATTTCAACTCAAAGGCACAATGAACTAAAGCTTGGAGTCGTGTCACAATATTCACTCCTGTTTACATTATAATTAGTTGGCGGAGTATTATATCATCTATTTCCGATGTGAATTCGAGCATCACTGCATCCAAACCTGGCCAGTGTACACTGTATCATGCCTTCAATGTAAGATTTACATTAGAAAACTCCTTAAAACACCTGTGGCGTTAGAGTTGTGTATCGCCTATGTCTGTCAATCTCAATAGGGGGACTGCGAAAGTTTCGATTTGTCACTGACTGACTGACTGAGTATGGTTTTACGCCGCTTTTAGCAATATTCCAGCAATATCACGGCGGGGGACACCAGAAATGGGCTTCACACATTGTACCCATGTCGGGAAGCGAACCCGGGTCTTCGGCGTGACGAGCGAACGCTTTAACCACTAGGCTACCCGACCGCCCCGATTTGTCACTGAAGTGTAATGACTATCTGTTACTGTCTAGGATATACAACGTGTAAATACCCAGCCAGAGACCCACCAAGCCTAAACCATCACACAGTATTTACACACACGTATAACTTAATATCAATATCTCACGAAACGCAACGTTTTCTAAAGCTCTTATTTTCAAGTTTACATGACCTGTCTAAGCTTTCTGACTCATGAATATTTCACATTTTTGCTTCTGAGAGTCTCATCAATGATTCATTAAGACAAATATTGTGAATCTTTAATCCGTGGAGAGTCGATGTTGTTGCTGTTGTTGCTGCTGTTGCTGTTTAGAGGATGTATCCTATTTGGCCCTGCATTCAATGTACACGTTAACAGTGCAACATTATCTCTGTGTCAGTTTGAACGTAGAAAACAGTGAATACATCAAGCAAAAAGCAAAATTATGGTACATGTATTGTGTTTCGAAAATCGTCAGAAGAAAATAGAGTTGCTATATCACACAATAATGTACACAAGACTTCTTTATTCGCGTATAATACACACTCGTGTGTTATATGCACCCTTAATTATAGGCAATTAAATTCTGGGAATTATATCTGTCGTACATAAACATTTCAGGCTGTCACCATTAACCACGAAATTTATCTTTCAACTCTGTTTTTTTCACCAAAATAACATTCTAATAAGAGCCCCCTATTTCTAATTTTGAGAGCGCCCTGTGCGCATATTACGTCGAATACGGTAATTACGATTTGGACTTTGTCTTGTAGTCAAAGCAATCACAGCCAAAGTAATTTTTAGAATTCGCTACCACTACACAAGATCCGAGATCATTCCATTGCAGGCCACGTCACAACGACCTTTCGCGAACATTTACCACGAAGAAAGCAGCTTTTTCGAGCTATACGGCACTAGTTTCAAAATGACGACTTCCATTCCAGACTACGTTTTGAAAAATAATATGTTCTCGATTCAAAATGTGAAATTCTGAACAAAAGAACATTCTGGAATGTCTAAAGGAGGCCGAGATTATAAGACAGCATTTCCCACGGGTAATGGGAAGTCTCTTTCGTGTCAAATGTTTATCGGGGCGGTCGGATAGCCTTGTGGTTAAAGCGTTCGCTCGTCACGCCAAAGACCCGGGCTCGATTCCCGACATGGGTACAATGTGTGAAGCCCATTTCTGGTGTCCCCCGCCGTGATATTGCTGGAATATTGCTAAAAGCGGTATAATACTCACTCACTCAAATGTTTATCCAATTGAAGCCGTACAGTCCGTAGCTGTTGTTGAAATGACCCGTGTTAACCTTCCAGGTTGCATGATATGTAAAAAAAGTGTCACTTTTGAGATTTCGCTCTGATCGGTCGTTCTGACGTGACCTTCAAAGGAATGTCCTCAGGCCTTTGTGTCGCTGTAGTCAGAACCAAGAGCTGATTTTAATGAGTCTGGTCATCAGGCAGTCTTCAGGTGATAATAAGGAATGTGACGTAGTATTTATAACACTGCTGATCAATGGTCTTTATTTTATAGCAACATATGCAACGCAATTAACTCTATCACTCATCTGAAAAACATTCATGTTTGACAAACAAACATACGCACTATTTCATTAACTTGAGTGTTTACATACATATCTAACGTTAGTGACAGTCGGGTGTTTGTGAGGCAGCGTGTTGCCAGAGGGATACCAAGTATGTTTCGTGTAAGTGACACCCGGTGTTTTGAAACAGTTAAATGTGGTGGATACCGGTGTTCAGAGGGTATTTAAGGCGCGAAACCAGTTGAGTGCACAACACATACAATCCTGCATTAAATCATATCAAATTCAAGATAATATTGATGTTCGTGTGAACCTATATCCCTATTGACACCTATTGACACCTAGAAAAGGAGTATGAATGTATTAGCTATACATTTCCTGCAGTCGTGCATGTTGAAAGCCACTAATACATGAAAGCAAGGCGTGGCCATCGAGATTACTGGCTTATGAATTGTGCCTGAAGTTTATCACCAACCTTGTTGGAGCTACTCCGATAAGGCCACTTGTATGCTCATTTTCTGACACTGACACGAAGGGGGCTGGGGTCGTGAGATTAGGCATAAAGCTGGAAACAGAACGTAGCCTTCATTAGCTGACGTTGTCGCCGCCCAGCATCTCACCCAACAATAACTATTGTGTGGGTCAATCAACACAATCTTAACAATACTCCAATAGCAATAAATGGCAGTAAAATATCAGTTGTGTGGAACAACCCAGCTTAAGTTGCTGGTGTCACGCACTGTAATCTTAAAAGCAACCGTGTCACACGTTGTGCTAGGAGATGAGAGTAACCGTAATCTTAAGGCAACCGTGTTACACGTTGTGCTAGGAGATGGGAGTAACTGTAATCTTAAGGCAACCATGTTACATGTTGTGCTAGGAGATGAGAGTAACTGTAATCTTAAAGGCAACCATGTCACATGTTGTGCTAGGAGATGAGAGTAACTGTAATCTTAAAGGCAGCCATGTTACATGTTGTGCTAGGAGATGAGAGTAACTGTAATCTTAAAGGCAACCATGTTACATGTTGTCCTAGGAGTTGAGAGTAACCGTAATCTTCAAGGCAGCCGTGTTACATTTTGTGTTAGGAGATGAGAGTAACCGTAATCTTCAAGGCAACCATGTTACATGTTGTGCTAGGAGATGAGAGTAACTGTAATCTTAAAAGCAACCGTGTCACACGTTGTGCTAGGAGATGAGAGTAACCGTAATCTTAAGGCAACCGTGTTACACGTTGTGCTAGGAGATGAGAGTAACTGTAGTCTTAAAGGCAACCATGTTACATGTTGTGCTAGGAGATGAGAGTAACTGTAATCTTCAAGGCAGCCATGTTACATGTTGTGCTAGGAGATGAGAGTAACTGTAATATTCAAGGCAAACATGTTACAGTTTGTGCAAGGAGATGAGAGTAATTGTAATCCTAAAGGCAACCATGTTACATGGTGTGTTAGGAGATGAGAGTAACTGTAATCTTCAAGGCAATCATGTTACATGTTATGCTGGGAGATGAGAGTAACTGTAATCTTCAAGGCAACCATGTTACATGTTGTGCTGGGAGATGAGAGTAACTGTAATCTTCAAGGCAACCATGTTACATGTTGTGCTAGGAGATGTGTGTAACTGTAATCTTAAAGGCAACCATGTTACATGTTTTGCTAGGAGATGTGTGTAACTGTAATCTTAAAGACAACCATGTTACATATTGTGTTAGGAGATGTGTGTAACTGTAATCTTAAAGACAACCATGTTACATGTTGTGTTAGGAGATGAGAGTAACTGTAATCTTAAAGGCAACCATGTTACATGTTGTGCTAGGAGATGTGTGTAACTGTAATCTTAAAGACAACCATGTTACATGTTGTGTTAGGAGATGAGAGTAACTGTAATCTTAAAGGCAACCATGTTACATGTTTTGCTGGGAGATGAGAGTAACTGCAATCTTCAAGGCAACCATGTTACATGTTGTGCTAGGAGATGGGTGAGAGTGTAATCCTAACGGCAGCCATGTTCAATGTTATATATGTTTTACAGGCCAAATAGATGGGGACAGCTGTAACACGACCAGCTGTGAGAATGGAGGCACGTGTATATCGACCGGCGTGAACGATACCTCGTGTGTGTGTGCACCTGAATACTATGGCGAGAGCTGCTCATTGAAGAGATGTGAGTATCCAGACAGTGTCTGCTTCACAGATACAGCTCAACGTCTCATTAATACCTACATGACGCAATATTCAAGCAATATGAGGGCGGTCTGTAAACAATCGAGTGTGAACCAGACAGTCCAGTGACTGACATCATGAGCATCAATCGACATATACGCAACTGAGACACGATGACATGCAAGCACACAACTCTCTGTCAGCTCTCTAGCAACTCCCTACTAACTCATTAGCAACGAATTAACACTAACTAACTCCCTGACAAACCACTTACTCCTTACTAACTCCCTAGCTGATCTCTGTTAATCTATAGCAACACCATTCATGTAGCAACTCCCTGGTAATCCATAGCAACACCATTCATGTAGCAACTCCCTGGTAATCCATAGCAACACCATACATGTAGCAACTCCCTGGTAATCCATAGCAACACCATACATGTAGCAACTCCCTGTTAATCTATAGCAACACCATTCATGTAGCAACTCCCTGGTAATCCATAGCAACACCATACATGTAGCAACTCCCTGTTAATCTATAGCGACACCATACATGTAGCAACTCCCTGGTAATCCATAGCAACACCATACATGTAGCAACTCCCTGGTAATCCATAGCAACACCATACATGTAGCAACTCCCTGGTAATCCATAGCAACACCATACATGTAGCAACTCCCTGGTAATCCATAGCAACACCATACATGTAGCAACTCCCTGGTAATCCATAGCAACACCATACATGTAGCAACTCCCTGGTAAACCATAGCAACACCATTCATGTAGCAACTCCCTGGTAATCCATAGCAACACCATACATGTAGCAACTCCCTGGTAATCCATAGCAACACCATACATGTAGCAACTCCCTGGTAAACCATAGCAACACCATTCATGTAGCAACTCCCTGGTAATCCATAGCAACACCATACATGTAGCAACTCCCTGGTAATCCATAGCAACACCATACATGTAGCAACTCCCTGGTAATCCATAGCAACACCATACATGTAGCAACTCCCTGGTAAACCATAGCAACACCATTCATGTAGCAACTCCCTGGTAATCCATAGCAACACCATACATGTAGCAACTCCCTGGTAATCCATAGCAACACCATTCATGTAGCAACTCCTTGGTAATCCATAGCAACACCATACATGTAGCAACTCCCTGGTAATCCATAGCAACACCATACATGTAGCAACTCCCTGGTAATCCATAGCAACACCATACATGTAGCAACTCCCTGGTAAACCATAGCAACACCATTCATGTAGCAACTCCCTGGTAATCCATAGCAACACCATACATGTAGCAACTCCCTGGTAATCCATAGCAACACCATACATGTAGCAACTCACTTGTAAACCATAGCAACACCATACATGTAGCAACTCCCTGGTAATCCATAGCAACACCATACATGTAGCAACTCCCTGGTAATCCATAGCAACACCATACATGTAGCAACTCCCTGGTAATCCATAGCAACACCATACATGTAGCAACTCACTGGCAATCCATAGCAACACCATACATGTAGCAACTCCCTGGTAATCCATAGCAACACCATTCATGTAGCAACTCCTTGGTAATCCATAGCAACACCATACATGTAGCAACTCCCTGGTAATCCATAGCAACACCATACATGAAGCAACTCCTTGGTAATCCATAGCAACATCATTCATGTAGCAACTCCCTGTTAATCCATAGCAACACCATACATGTAGCAACTCACTTGTAAACCATAGCAACACCATACATGTAGCAACTCCCTGGTAATCCATAGCAACACCATACATGTAGCAACTCCCTGGTAATCCATAGCAACACCATACATGTAGCAACTCCCTGGTAATCCATAGCAACACCATACATGTAGCAACTCACTTGTAAACCATAGCAACACCATACATGTAGCAACTCCCTGGTAATCCATAGCAACACCATACATGTAGCAACTCCCTGGTAATCCATAGCAACACCATACATGTAGCAACTCCCTGGTAATCCATAGCAACACCATACATGTAGCAACTCCCTGGTAATCCATAGCAACACCACACATGTAGCAACTCACTGGCAATCCATAGCAACACCATACATGTAGCAACTCCCTGGTAATCCATAGCAACACCATTCATGTAGCAACTCCTTGGTAATCCATAGCAACACCATACATGTAGCAACTCCCTGGTAATCCATAGCAACACCACGGTAACTCTAAATGTGGTGTAATGGCATTATGTCGTGTACTGTTCCTAGTAATAAAAGAGTATAGCTATAGTATTTAATGTTAAAGGTACTATTGCCGAAATGTCACCACTCCACAACCTTCACCTGCTCTATCCGGGCCAGGTCGGGATTCTGGGTAACATATACAATAAACTACGGTTATAACAAACTCAAAGGGACCACGAATTTTAGCTCGTTATAACCGTAGTTCGTTATAAGCATATACATCATATGTACAGTAAATGGTCGGGACACAAAAATAAGTTCGTTATATCTGTCAGTTCGTTATAAGCGTGTTCGTGTTCGTGTTCGTTATAAACGTAGTTTACTGTAGGTCGCAAGAATAAGTTCGTTATATCCGTCAGTTCGTTATAAGCGTTTTCGTGTTCGTGTTCGTTATAAACGTAGTTTACTGTAGGTCGCAAGCAAGCTGTGTTGGTCTTAAGAGGCGGCGGAGTGAATTGGTCAGGCTGTGGCGTGCATGTCATCGTATCTCAGTTGCGTCTTCGTAGATCAAGGCACATGATGTCAATCGCTAGATTGTCTGGTCCCCACCCGATAATTTACAGAGCGCCGGCATATCGCTGGAATATTGCTGAGTGCGGCGTTAAAAATTACATGTATATCGAACATTTTTCTCCTTCCAGATCAAGTGGACTGCAAGTCAGGGAGTCTGCTGGTCGGTGTCCACCCTTTTGGCAACTTCAGCGGCTACATCTACGAGGAGAATAACCGAGACACGTGTCAGTTCGAACCTGTTTCCACATCAGGAAACGGAAATAAAGGATGGGAGGGCTATGCTAGGGACGTTAACAATAACGACGATAAGTGCGGCAACATCTCTGCCGTGTTTGATCAACCACCGCCAGCAAACGTACGTACTGCATGGAGACTCCCCACTTAGTTATTTAGCGGACAGTGGAAAGAGACAGGACACTTCTGTGTAATTGTTTTGTTATTAATGTAAAAGCTGCTTGTCGTCCCAAGTGAACACACATACAGCGTGTGATGATATAATGTACCCACGGCCCACCTGATGAGGCATGGCTCTGTGGGTGAGTGGGTGTTATCGATGTCGTGGTTAGGCTTTTAGGCGTTGATGGTTGTGTGTTATCGATGACGTGGTTAGGCTCTGTGACGTGGATAGTTGTGTGTTATCGATGGCGTGGTTAGGCTCTGTCACGTGGATGGTTGTGTGTTATCGATGTCGTGGTTAGGCTTTGTGACGTGGATGGTTGTGTGTTATCGATAGCGTGATTAGGCGCTATGACGTGGATGGTTGTGTTATCGATGACGTGGTTAGGCTCTGTGACGTGGATGGTTGTGTGTTATCGATAGCGTGATTAGGCGCTATGACGTGGATGGTTGTGTTATCGATGACGTGGTTAGGCTCTGTGACGTGGATGGTTGTGTGTTATCGATGACGTGGTTAGGCACTGTGACGTGGATAGTTGTGTGTTATCGATGACGTGGTTAGGCTCTGTGACGTGGATGGTTGTGTGTTATCGATAGCGTGATTAGGCGCTATGACGTGGATGGTAGTGTTATCGATGACGTGGTTAGGCTCTGTGACGTGGATGGTTGTGTGTTATCGATAGCGTGATAAGGCGCTATGACGTGGATGGTTGTGTTATCGATGTCGTGGTTAGACTCTGTGAAGTGGATAGTTGTGTGTTATCGATGGCGTTGTTAGACTCTGTGACGTGGATGGTTGTGTGTTATCGATGACGTGGTTAGGCTCTGTGACGTGGATGGTTGTGTGTTATCGATGGCGTGGTTTGGCGCTAGTCGTGGATGGTTGTGTTATCGATAGCGTGATTAGTCGCTATGACGTGGATGGTTGTGTGTTATCGATAGCGTGATTAGGCGCTATGACGGGGATGGTTGTGTGTTATCGATGACGTGTTTAGGCTCTGTGACGTGGATGGTTTTGTGTTATCGATGGCGTTGTTAGACTCTGTGACGTGGATAGTTGTGTGTTATCGATGACGTGGTTAGGCTCAGTGACGTGGATGGTTGTGTGTTATCGAAGGCGTTGTTAGACTCTGTGACGTGAATGGTTGTGTGTTATCGATGACGTGGTTAGGCTCTGTCACGTGGATGGTTGTGTGTTATCGATAGCGTGATTAGGCGCTATGACGTGGATGGTTGTGTTATCGATGACGTGGTTAGGCTCTGTGACGTGGATGGTTGTGTGTTATCGATAGCGTGATTAGGCGCTATGACGTGGATGGTTGTGTTATTGATGACGTGGTTAGGCTCTGTGACGTGGATGGTTGTGTGTTATCGATAGCGTGACTAGGCGCTATGACGTGGATGGTTGTGTTATCGATGACGTGTTTAGGCTCTGTGACGTGGATGGTTGTATGTTATCGATAGCGTGATTAGGCGCTATGACGTGGATGGTTGTGTTATCGATGACGTGGTTAGGCTCTGTGACGTGGATGGTTGTGTGTTATCGATGACGTGATTAGGCGCTATGACGTGGATGGTTGTGTTATCGATGTCGTGGTTAGGCTCTGTGACGTGGATGGTTGTGTGTTATCGATGGCGTTGTTAGACTCTGTGACGCGGATGGTTGTGTGTTATCGATGACGTGGTTAGGCTCTGTGACGTGGATGGTTGTGTGTTATCGATGACGTGGTTAGGCTCTGTGACGTGGATGGTTGTGTGTTATCGATGGCGTGGTTTGGCGCTAGTCGTGGATGGTTGTGTTATCGATAGCGTGATTAGTCGCTATGACGTGGATGGTTGTGTGTTATCGATAGCGTGATTAGGCGCTATGACGGGGATGGTTGTGTGTTATCGATGACGTGTTTAGGCTCTGTGACGTGGATGGTTGTGTGTTATCGATGACGTTGTTAGACTCTGTGACGTGGATAGTTGTGTGTTATCGATGACGTTGTTAGGCTCTGTGACGTGGATAGTTGTGTGTTATCGATAGCGTGATTAGTCGCTATGACGGGGACGGTTGTTTGTTATTGATGGCGTGATTAGGCGCTATGACGTTTATGGTTGTGTGTTATCGATAGCGTGATTAGTCTCTATGACGTTGATTGTTTTGTGTTATCGATGGCGTGATTAGGCGCTATGACGGGGATGGTTGTGTGTTATCGATAGCGTGATGAGGCGCTATGACGTGGATGGTTGTGTGTTATCGATAGCGTGATTACGCGCTACGACGTGGATGGTTTTGTGTTATCGATTGCGTGGATGAGTGTGTATTATCGATGTAAGGTCTATTTTCCTGATTTGTTTGGCCCAGAATCGATTCCTCACAGTTTGCCCTGATATGACTGGACTATTGCGTAGTGTAATACCAAGGTGAGGTGAAATGGGGTTTAACGTAGGGTCAAAGACTATTGCACTTATATAGCCTTATAAGGCATTGACAGATTGTGTGTTTGTCATCCGTGTTGTCTTGCTACAGAGTACCGACATCTCCAACTCCACCACGACGTCCTACACTCGTATCATCTACATCGTCTACGAGAAGACGTTCATGACGTCCCTGGACGAGGTGCTCAACTTCACGTGTATCTTCAACACCAAGAGTGTCGTCATCGGCAAGAAAGCCGACAGCGTTTCACTGGATGTGTAAGTTGAAACACGCCAACCAAGCCAAGGCTCGCTAAAGGCAATGTTTATTCCTAATACAGGACATTTACCATCCCCAAACACACTCGCGTGATAACCTTTATGTTTTTGGTGTTATTTTATTGCACTTAATGTATTTCTTAATCTTTCCAACATGTTGTACAAACGGAATATGTTTCGGATAGTTATTTGATCAATTCTAGGAAGGATATGAACCAGGTCACGAGGGAGGCACAGCTGTCTCCGGTCAAATTTGAAATCACGGGCGACAATGACGATGCCAAGAACGTCAGGCTTGGTGAGAAGCTGACACTGACATTCACCATAGATTCTACAAGTAAGTGACATCCATTTATCATCCAAAACTGGCTCCCACGGGATATATTGCTTGGGTGAGATCAAGCGTTATCTAAATTGCATCACAATGCTTTGCAGACCAATGTGACGTCACAATCAAATGACATCGATAATGGCTCTGCTACTGAAGCTGTTTACAGTACCTTTAACATTAATTGCAACAAAACCGAAAGAGTTGGAAGAATGATGTTGGGTGACACCCTAGTGTCTTTTCAAAGCAAATATACTGAATCAAATTAAAACCTTAACATTTTTAAAAGAAATCCCATATTTGATATACAACGGACAAATGTATCAGAGAAGGTAATTTTTAATCATTAATGTCCAAAGAAGGGTTTTAATTAACGGTGGTAACCATAATTTGTTTCAAGCACCTACGGTATTCGGTAATAACATCAACAGTTTAAATCATAAGTCCCAAGCACGAGAATCTGATGGCACACAAGTTCAATAGCGTGTATGGCCACCATGTGCGTTGACAACTGCCACACAACGCCTCCGCATAGACCTTGTGATGCTTGTGAACACATGATTGGGAAGACGACGTCATTGTTGCTGCAAAATGGTGCCAAGATCTTGTTAATTCTGTGATTGGTTCTGGAGAGTGCGCAGACTTCTGCCAAGAGCATCCCAGACGTGTTCGATGGGATTGAGGTCGGGAGACCTTGACGGCCAGTCCATGACGTTGACTCCCGCATTCTGAAGGAAATTCCTTGTCAAAATAGCTGTGTGGGGTCTGGCATTGTCGTGTTAGAAGATCTAACCGGGTCCATGTGCTGCCATAAAAGGCAGAAGTCTGGTGCCAGTACCTGGTCGCGGTAAGCAGCAGCGTTGAGGTTGCCACGGATGACAAGAAGCCTGGAACGTGCATTGCCACAGAAAGAACCCCACACCATGAAACTTCCGCCTCGAAATCTGTCAACTTCCTGTACACAAAACTGGGCGTAACGTTCATGACGGCGCCTCCACACCCTCGCCCTACCATCAGCAAATTGAAGATTAAATCGGGATTCATCACTGAAGACGACTTGATTCCAATTCCTCTGAGTCCATCGTAAGTGTCGCTGTGCCCACAATTGACGTTGACGTCTGTGTAATTGAGTCAGAATCGGCCCGCAGTATGGCCGTCGTGCTTGAAGGTGAGCAGTTCTCAGACGGTTTCGAACAGTCTGCGCAATCAGTCTACCCCTAAACAGTTCATTTCTGGTTGATGTAGCCGTCAAGAATCGGTTACGGAGGTGACGTAAGACAATCTGACGATCCTCTGCATGTGACGTCACACGTGGTCGACCTGGCCGAGGGCGATCAGCGGTGGTACCCGTTTGCTGTAGACGCGTCTGTAAATCATAAACAGTCCGTCGACTACAACCCATCGTCCTTGCGACTTCAGCTACGGACGTTCCCGTCTGCAACATGCCGATGACACGTTCACGTTGCACATTTGAAAGGCGTTGCATGACAAATGGCCGTAAAGACTTTTCTTTTCTCCTTTTTTTCTTTTTTTGTTAATGACTGCTAACAAGTATGGCTGAAAACACGTGCGGTATTATGGCCACGTGACAAGTCGCACGTGAAAAAACACTTTTGCCACTATAGTGCTGTGCACATGATTTTGATCGATTCACCTGCACAAAAACGGGTGTTATCTGAAGACAATATGTGGCCATTACTGTTTAAATACAAAATAAGGGCCCACAATGATAACTGGTCAAAAGTTAAAATTTTAGGATTGTGAAGTTTTTAATTTGGTTCAGTACATTCAATTGCATTAGATCTTATTCAATGTCACAGGAACTTTTGTTGTTCAGTATATCATAATAGCGGAGTACCCTTTTTTATCATAAAGTTCTGATATGGACTAGTTCACTTAGTGGAAGGGGTGCACCTGTCTATTTATAGTGCTTAAAACTTGTGATGACCAAGGACATCATGTTTGCGTGACAGATCTGGAGTGAGTGACTGAGTGGGTGGGTGGATGGTTGAATGAGTGGGGAGGGAGGGAGGGAGTAAACGAGGGAGTGAGTGAGTGCATGTTGATGACAAATCAGCACTCATAATAATGGCGAGCATGGATCCCCACCCACGGCCGTAGGAGCCAGGTAAGCCATGGGGTTCAAAACTTCCCAGTAAACTGCGACGCCTGTGACGACTGTATCTCCCGTGTTCCAATGTTGTAAGTATTATTGTGTTGATGTCCCTACATGACATGCTTCTTCCTACGCCTGTAGTCCTCCTGTCATTGCAAACATTCTCACCTCATAATTATGCTGTAGGCTTTGATGGCGCCCGGCTGGAATCGTGTGTCTTCAATGACACAATGGAGAACGGTGACAATCTCACAGTGGTGGAGGAGAGGTAAGTCGAGACACACAGCCATCACATGGGTACCAGGTACCATAGAGTGAGGGATGATGGCTGACGTGCTGGTCAGTGAGTGATGTACAGGGTAGTTGAGACAACCAGAGGCGGGAGAGAAGAGTCCTACATAAATATCAATGTGAAAGTAACGCTTCTGCAAGTATTCCATTATATTTGATATATATGTGTGTTGTAGTGTCGGAATGTCTGTATTTTCTCAGCAAGAGTTTCATTAACTCAGTAAAGGAGACATACACGAATGTAACACACGCTTGATGGCGAAACTGTTGTGTAGAAAGTGTTTTATACTGAAACCTCTGTCTAGAAGCTGACAAGGTCACTATGACGTCAACAATGACTCCTTGTGACGCCACTACATTGTACATGACGTCAATTACTCGCTGTGACGCCGCTATAGTGTGCATCACATCGCTGTGACGTCATTAGAGCGCGTTATAACATTACAACGTTACACATAGGATTCGTATCGCTTTTTAGTAACTAGTGTTTAACAATATTGATAATATAAAATACTTTTGTTTACGAATACATGCCGACATCTATTTCCTCGTTCCAGCTGTGTGCAGGAGGATGCTGTGCCGATTCTGAGCGACCAAATAATGATGAAAGATGATAACGTGACCATCACCATCACCATGGTAATACGTGTCTTCAAGTTTGTGTCGTCGGACAAGCTGGGCATTGACTGTAAAGTGAAGGCGTGCCCACCCGGATATGGAGACGGATGCAACCCTGTTAGTGCCAGCTTCATCATTTTTATTTACACCATTTTGATAAAATGTGAATGAGTTGGGTTGGTCTGGAATCAGTGGAGTGAGTGAGTTGGTATTGAATCAGTGGAGTGAGTGAGTTGGTCTTGAATCACGGGAGTGAGTGAGTTGGTATTGAATCAGTGGAGTGAGTGAGTTGGTCTTGAATCTAACGAGTGAGCGAGTTGGTATTGAATCAGTGGAGTGAGTGAGTTGGTCTTGAATCTAAGGAGTGAGTGAGTTGGTCTTGAATCAGTGGAGTGAGTGAGTTGGTCTTGAATCAGTGGAGTGAGTGAGTTGGTCTTGAATCAGTGGAGTGAGTGAGTTGGTCTTGAATCTAATGAGTGAGTGAGTTGGTCTTGAATCAGTGGATTGAGTGAGTTGGTCTTGAATCAGTGGAGTGAGTGAGTTGGTCTTGAATCAGTGGAGTGAGTGAGTTGGTCTTGAATCAGTGGAGTGAGTGAGTTGGTCTTGAATCAGTGGAGTGAGTGAGTTGGTCTTGAATCAGTGGAGTGAGTGAGTTGGTCTTGAATCTAACGAGTGAGCGAGTTGGTATTGAATCAGTGGAGTGAGCGAGTTGGTATTGAATCAGTGGAGTGAGTGAGTTGGTCTTGAATCAGTGGAGTGAGTGAGTTGGTATTGAATCAGTGGAGTGAGTGAGTTGGTCTGGAATCACGGGAGTGAGTGAGTTGGTATTGAATCAGTGGAGTGAGCGAGTTGGTATTGAATCAGTGGAGTGAGTGAGTTGGTCTTGAATCTAAGGAGTGAGTGAGTTGGTATTGAATCAGTGGAGTGAGTGAGTTGGTCTGGAATCACGGGAGTGAGTGAGTTGGTATTGAATCAGTGGAGTGAGTGAGTTGGTCTTGAATCAGTGGAGTGAGTGAGTTGGTCTTGAATCAGTGGAGTGAGTGAGTTGGTCTTGAATCTAATGAGTGAGTGAGTTGGTCTTGAATCAGTGGAGTGAGTGAGTTGGTCTTGAATCAGTGGAGTGAGTGAGTTGGTCTTGAATCAGTGGAGTGAGTGAGTTGGTCTTGAATCAGTGGAGTGAGTGAGTTGGTCTTGAATCAGTGGAGTGAGTGAGTTGGTCTTGAATCAGTGGAGTGAGTGAGTTGGTCTTGAATCAGTGGAGTGAGTGAGTTGGTCTTGAATCAGTGGAGTGAGTGAGTTGGTCTTGAATCAGTGGAGTGAGTGAGTTGGTCTTAAATCAGTGGAGTGAGTGAGTTGGTCTTGAATCAGTGGAGTGAGTGAGTTGGTCTTGAATCAGTGGATTGAGTGAGTTGGTCTTGAATCTAAGGAGTGGGCGAGTTGGAAGTGAATCAGTGGAGTGAGTGAGTTGGTCTTGAATCAGTGGAGTGCGTGAGTTGGTCTTGAATCTAAGGAGTGAGCGAGTTGGAAGTGAATCAGTGGAGTGAGTGAGTTGGTCTTGAATTAGTGGAGTGAGTGAGTTGGTCTTGACTCAAAGGTGGGAGTGAGTTAGTTTTGAATCAAAGGTTGGAGTGAGTTAGTTTTGAATCAGTGGAGTGAGTGAGTGGGTCTTGAAACAGTGTAGTAAGTGAGTTGGTATTGAATCAGTGGAGTGAGTGAGTTAGTCTTGAATCAGTGGAGTGAGTGAGTTGGTATTGAATCAGTGGAGTGAGTGAGTTGGTCTTGAATCAGTGGAGTGAGTGAGTTGGTCTTGAATCAAAGGTGGGAGTGAGTTAGTCTTGAATCAGTGGAGAGAGTGAGTTGGTCTTGAATTAGTGGAATAAGTGAGTTAGTCTTGAATCAGTGGAGTGAGTGAGTTGGTCTTGAATCAGTGGAGTGAGTGAGTTGTCTTGAATCAGTGGAGTGAGTGAGTTGGTCTTGAATCAAGGGTGGGAGTGAGTTAGTCTTCAATCAAGAGAGGGAGTGAGTTTGTCGTCAATCAAGAGAGGGAGTGAGTTAGTTTGGTGTTGAATCAAGGGAGTGATTGAGCTGGGTCTATCTACGAGGCTGGGGGTTGTGGGTATGAATGTGATGCGGGTAAAGCAGGAGGAGTGACACGAGACCACTGGGCCACCCGTGCCCTACTTTGCAATGCAGAGGGGCCAATGAACCAGTTTCTTGTTGCACATTATCCATTCACTATCGTTGTACACTAGACATTCACCATCGTTGTACACCAACCGTTCACTATGGTTGTACACTAGACATTCACCATCGTTGTACACCAACCGCTCACTATCGTTGTACACTAGACAGTCACAATCGCTGTACACTAGACAGTCACAATCGCTGTACACCAACCGTTCACTATCGTTATACACTAGACAGTCACAATCGCTGTACACCAACCGTTCACTATCGTTGTACACTGACATTCACCATCGTTGTACATCAACCGTTCACTATCGTTGTACATTAGACATTCACCATCGTTGTACACCAACAGTCCACTATCGTTGTTCACTAGACATTCACCATCGTTGTACAACAACCGTTCACTATCGTTGTACACCAGACATTCACCATCGTTGTACACCAACCGTTCACTATCGTTGTACACTAGACATTCACCATCGTTGTACACCAACCGTTCACTATCGTTGTACACTAGACATTCACCATCGTTGTACACCAACCGTTCACTATCGTTGTACACTAGACATTCACCATCGTTGTACACCAACAGTCCACTATCGTTGTACACTAGACATTCACCATCGTTGTACACCAACAGTCCACTATCGTTGTACACTAGACATTCACCATCGTTGTACACCAACAGTCCACTATCGTTGTACACTAGACATTCACCATCGTTATACACCAACAGTCCACTATCGTTGTACACTAGACATTCACCATCGTTATACATCAACAGTCCACTATCGTTGTACACTAGACATTCACCATCGTTGTACACTAACAGCCCACTATCGTTGTACACTAGACATTCACCATCGTTGTACACCAACCGTTCACTATGATTTTACACTAGACATTCACCATCGTTGTACATCAACCGTTAACTATCGTTGTACACTAGACATTCACCATCGTTGTACATCATCCGTTCACTATAATTGTACACTAGACATTCACCATCGTTGTACATCAACCGTTATATATCGTTGTACACTAGACATTCACTATCGTTGTACATCAACCGTTCACTATAATTGTACACTAGACATTCACCATCGTTGTACATCAACCGTTAACTATCATTGTACACTAGACATTCACCATCGTTGTACATCAACAGTCCACTATCGTTGTACACTAGACATTCACCATCGTTGTACACCAACCGTTCACTATCGTTGTACCCTAGACATTCACCATCGTTGTACACCAACCGTTCACTATCGTTGTACACTAGACATTCACCATTGTTGTACACCAACGGTTACCGTTCACTATCGTTGTACACTAGACATTCACCATCGTTGTACACCAACAATTCACTATCGTTGTCAACTAGACATTCACCATCGTTGTACACCAACAATTCACTATCGTTGTACACTAGACATTCACCATCTTTGTACCCCAACAATTCACTATCGTTGTACACCAGACATTCACTATCGTTGTTCACCAGACATTCACCATCGTTGTACACCAACCGTTCACCATCATTGTTCACTAGACATTCACCATCGTTGTACACCAACCGTTCACTATCGTTGTACACTAGACATTCACTATCGTTGTACACCAACAATTCACTATCGTTGTACACTAGACATTCAACATCGTTGTACACCAACCGTTCACTATTATTGTACACTAAACATTTACCATCATTGTACATCAACCGTTCATTGTCGTTGTACATCAGACATTCACCATTGTTGTACATCAACCGTTTACCATCGTTGTACACTAGACATTCACCATCGTTGTACACTAGACATTTACCATCATTGTACATCAACCGTTTCATCAAAGATTTATGAAATGACACTGATGTTATTGCAGCGAGACTGCAAGAACGCCCTGACCAACCAGAAGGGGTATGGGCGGAAGCGGCGAGACGCGCCGGGATTCCAGACTCGCGAAGTTGGCGGTATCATCAACGTCGGAGGCCCCTTCGTCCTTGACGACACCGAGGAAGGTAAGTGCTTCCCCGTCTTATGCTTGGCGGCTCTCAATGCTATCAACATTTTGAACACATACAGCGGACGTATGCACAGTGTGAGCAGTGGTGTGTACGTGTATAAATACCCCAATGAACGCAATACCACCCTGAAGTCAATCCTTATGCGTCAACAATAATAGCTTCACGGGCTACATATAACTAATCGGGCTTATCATTAACACACACACACTACAGATAACCGCATGAAATCAGTGACATCATTCAGGCAATAATAAAGCACAAGCCCCTCCAATTGTTATCAGCCAATTAGGAAACAGTAATACGTCAGTTGGCGTGGCCAGTTCTTTCGTTTTATGCACAAACAGATTGCTTGGTTACCTTTACCAAGATCGTACTTGGGCGTCCGATACCTTAATGTTACTTGGGGGTCCGATACCTTGATAGTACTTGGGCGCCCTTTACCGTGACAGTACTTGGTCGCCCTTTACCGTGATAGTCCTTGAGCGCCCGTTATCATGATAGTACTTGGGGGCCCTTTACCATGATCGTACTTGAGCGCCCGTTATCATGATAGTACTTGGGCGCCCGTTACCGTGATAGTACTTGAGCGCCCGTTACCGTGATAGTACTTGGGAGCCCGTTACCGTGATAGTACTTGAGCGCCTGTTACCGTGAAAGTACTTGGGCGCCCGTTACCGTGATAGTACTTGGGCGCCCGTTACCGTGATAATACTTGGGCGCCCGTTACCGAGATAGTACTTGGGCGCCCGTTACCATGATAGTACTTGGGCGCCCGTTACCGTGATATTACTTGGGCGCCCGTTACCGTGATAGTACTTGAGCGCCCGTTACCGTGATATTACTTGGGCGCCCGTTACCGTGATAATACTTGGGCGCCCGTTACCGTGATATTACTTGGGCGTCCGTTACCGTGATAATACTTGGGCGCCCGTTACCGAGATAGTACTTCGGCGCCCGTTATCATAGTAGAACTGTCCTTCACCAGTAAAACACTTGGGTGCTCTTCACAGTGATTGTGATTGCTTGCCCTTTAACAGTAAAAGCTGGGGCGCCCTTTTCAATGTAACCACTCCAGCGCCAAATACCATTCCGTGAGCAGCACTTGGGCGCCCTTCACAACGGCACATCCTTTGCTCTCCCTCGGGCCCGGGTCGATTTAACCATCATGCACTCCAACTGCTCGTAATAAGTATTCAAGGATCCATTAGTCGTGGGTTCGAATCCCAGGTCGGTTTCGATTATGACCCTTGTTCTTTGGATTTCGTAAACCTTCCGCATACACTGACCTTGTGTTCCAGAGAATCCAGGCGATGTGACCAAGACGGAGAAGCAGCAAACTTGCAGCACCAGCAAAGAGGTGATAGCAATCATGGCAGCCCTTGGCACCGTCACCATAATTCTACTGATCTTCACCATCACCTTGGTGTCACGTGCGGTCATCACGAGACAGGCGTCTCCCAAGAGCAAGACGAGGGACGAGGGCAGTGACACGTTCTCTAATCTAGGACAGCCTAGAGCATTTAGTCGCAAATACTGATTAGAAATACCGAGTAATCACATTGAGAAGAATATGTTTGATTGCAGAATATGTTAATGTTTATGATGGCTACCCGTTCTGTCAGCTCGCCGCTCGCACGTACATGAGACTCACGAGTTAGTGCTGAAATATTCCCATGTTGAGAACCGCGGGGTCACCCTCGATTGTCCAGTGTATTATATCTCCATTCTGTTCTAATACATCCCTTGACACAGACGTCACCGTAGTTGCCTTTACAACAAGTCAGTGACATGACGCTAAATATAGTCCTCCAGTTAAATTTCATAAGTAAAATTAAAATAAACTCTGTTCAAAGTTAGTGATGAAAGGGAAGCAGTTGGTGACGTCACTTCCGAAACGAAGCTATTGGTCCAGGTTTTGTATCATAACTCAATAGAGATGCAAAGAACGGATGATCGAGGTTGGCGCAGAGAGCAGAAAGCTGTCAAGGTACACCTGGTCTGTTACAGACATGTACTGAGAGCAGAAAGCTGTCAAGGTACACCTGGTCTGTTACAGACATGTACTGAGAGCAGAAAGCTGTCAAGGTACACCTGGTCTGTTACAGACATGTACTGAGAGCGGGTTGACGCAGAGAGCAGAAAGCTGTCAAGGTACACCTGGTCTGTTACAGACATGTACTGAGAGCGGGTTGACGCAGAGAGCAGAAAGCTGTCAAGGTACACCTGGTCTGTTACAGACATGTACTGAGAGCGGGTTGACGCAATATACGGCTTCTCGGTGTAATTATGAAGGATACTCGAATTATTGTTTCAATTAGATATTACTGATGGATAACATTTACAAATTATTTATATCTACAAGTAGTTGCTTACCATAATATAAGTAGTAACTTTCATTCTGGGCTTAAAGTGTCATGTGACCAATACACAATATATCTATGCCTGATTTCGATCACATCATGATAGAAAATCAGAGAAAAGAATGATGTCGTATCTAAACAACACTCGACTCTATATGAGACTGAATGAGTGAGTTATGGTTTATAGTCACAACGACAATATTTCAGCCATACCGTGACTAGACTGTATATGTGACACACGTACCTACAGAAGGAACAAACAGCAACGCAGATCTATCTTAACCAGCCCATGATCTCTGTATAGTGTATCGGGGCGGTGGGGTAGCCTAGTGGTTAAAGCGTTTGCTCGTCACGCCGAAGGCCCGGGTTCGATTCCCGACATGGGTACAATGTGTGAAGCCCAGTTGTGGTGTCACTGGAATATTGCTAAAAGCGGCGTAAAACTATACTCACTCTTTGTATTGTGTATCCGTCGGTCATTATGACACTTTCGCTTTATTTGTTTAACATCCTCCTTGATGAACTTTGATACGTCTGTAACAAAGGCGAGTATTTTATGGCTGTTGTAGTTGTAGCTATTTGCCTCAAAACTACATGTATCGTATTCAGTTAAGTGTGTACATCAAGTAGTTTCAAATTATGTTGCTATCTCTTCAAAGTGATAAGTTATACAACATCCGTTACTGGCGTCAATTGTCTGCGCCCTATAACAATGTAGCAGAGCTGTCGAACATGGCGTCTGTAACTGCCTGTACCGTATGTACTGATGTAGTACAAGCTACTTTCCATTTTTTGTGTTGCAATCGATTTAGGATTCTGTGATTTTTTTCATATTTTGCAAATTTATATATTTGTTTGTAGTTTTCTTTTTGTATGTATGAAATATTCTTTTTTAGCATCGTGATATGAAGTTTTAAAGCTTCCTTGTGCATGTTTCATCTGTCCCTTGTTGATTCTGCCTGCATGGTCCGTCCACATACATTTGATCTGATGTCCCGCTTGTTCTCCACCCTCGCTCCGTGGTACCTAATGTCACGTGTCTGTCCTGTGCTTATAGAGAGATATGTGTTGCATACACACAAAACGAGGCAAAGCCGATGTTAAATGCTTGTCTGAGATGTTTCCTGTAATAAAGACCATTTCGGTGCATTCCATACTGTTTGTCATTGATCAATGTTATCATTCTAACATTTGAAGTTCCCCTTGTATAATTGTGATTTTCTTTTGTTTACCATGAAATGGGCCAACGTGTAGACACTGAGAGAGTGAGTATGGTTTTACGCCGCTTTCAGCAATATTCCAGCAATATCACGGCGGGGTATACCAGAAATGAGCTTCATACAATGTACCCATGTCGGAAATCGAACCCTGACGAACGCGAACGCTTTAACCGCTAGGCTACCCCCACCGCCCCACGTTGACGGGCGGTAGTTGTTGTAAACACAGGCAGTAGGTTGGGTAAAGCAATCAAGGTAAGACACACAATAAATCATATTTACGTCCGTTAAAATAGTTGTACAAGCAATGTCCGCCTGCCCGTTAGCTCGTGTCCAGCAACATTTCGGTTGGGCTAAAGATTCTGAAATAACCCTAAATCTTATAGGGATGGTGAATGTTTACAAAAAATGAGTGATGAAAAAAGAACAGGGGCGAAAAACAGGCCGAGAATAGAAATGTCTATCAACAACGTCAGTGCAGTTTCCATAGCTAGCGTAATTTGAAACTGGTTGTACCGTTGAAGGCGCGCTTGCCCACCTGACCAGCAATATGTTGAGACTATTTCACACACTGTTCTAGCCGAAAAGAACGACCCCAAAACGAAACCGATGTGATATGGTTCTTTATTTCATGCTAACTTGTATTCAGGTTGGGCTCACTGAAATATGCACCTTTAGTACGTAGCGCAAATAAATAAACACCTGAGTAGATATTCGCACCATACAGACGCATCAACATTGATTTTAAACAAAAGAAGCGTGCGTAAAATGCGTCGCTTGCCACAAATGTTTTTTGTTTGTTATTTGTTGAGTGGGTAGGAGAAAGAAGGGACTATTTAAAGCCGACCTCAGCCGCAGCGGCGCAGAGATCTGTGAATGATCGAGTCTGGACCAGAAACACAAGTGACGGAATCAGAATTATATATAATCATACTGCTACTTTTTGCATTTGTATTGTTGATAACTTTTCACCTCGTAAATAATCCTGGGAGGTTTTACTTTTCCCAAGTAAGACCTGGGTTAAAGAATTATTTTTTCCTTGTAAGACCTGGTATGAGGTTTTACTTTTTGCAAGTGAGGCGTGTTGATTTGAGTAGCAGATGGGATTTGGACTTAGTGTGTCAAACGTATCATGTTCTAAAATCGAAGTCAAGAAATGAAACATTTTCATTATGGATGGTGAAAGAACGTTCAATTTTAGATGTCATGATTTTATTTTGTTTCGTCTGTCGCACGCTTTGATCGCAATCCCTTTTATACCGACACAATGTATTGTTTCGCTCTAAGACATCTCGAAGTTTTCTGTTATTTCTTGCATTTAGACGGTTTATAAGTGGGATAAATAAGACCGAGGCAATCGGGTAGCAGCAATGTAAGACCGAGGAGCAAAGCATTACCGATACCCGATACCCGATACCCGATTGCCTCAGAGTCGCGCTTTACCCTGATTTTAAAGTGGTAAAATGTAACAAATGTTGTATTTGGGATAACGCTTACTTAGTCAAGTACAGATTCCACTTTCTAAATGGCACTGCGTGTTCATAGTGTTAGGTCATGGGGACCGTGCAGATCTGCACTGTCAGAGGGGTACACACATTACGTGATCTAGACTACCACTTGTCGGACTTTCAATTTCGTGGAAGCCTCGATGGCTGAGTGGGTTAGATCGCTGACTTCGTGTGCTGGCGATTAGGTGCCCTCACTCTGGAATTGTGGGTTCGGATGGGACTCAACCCAAAGTGTACTAGAATCTGTACTTTGCTACAGTAACATTTGTTATTATCCATGGTGTAGCATCAGATGGATGTCAGCTACTGTCCTTGCTGAAGAACCAGCAGCAAGCAAGGTGGCGGAGAGAACGAGGTCAGCTACTGTCATTACTGAAGAACCAGCAGCAAACAAGGTGGCGGAGAGAACGAGGTCAGCTACTGTCATTTCTAAAGGACCAGCAGTAAGCAAGGTGGCGGAGAGAACGAGGTCAGCTGCTGTCATTTCTGAAGGACCAGCAGTAAGCAAGGTGGCGGAGAGAACGAGGTCAGCTACTGTCATTTCTGAAGGACCAGCAGTAAGCAAGGTGGCGGAGAGAACGAGGTCAGCTACTGTCATTTCTGAAGGACCAGCAGTAAGCAAGGTGGCGGAGAGAACGAGGTCAGCTACTGTCATTTCTGTAGGACCAGCAGCAAGCAAGGTGGCGGAGAGAACGAGGTCGGTTACTGTCATTTCTGAAGGACCAGCAGCAAGCAAGGTGGCGGAGAGAACGAGGTCAGCTACTGTCATTTCTAAAGGACCAGCAGCAAGCAAGGTGGCGGAAAGAACGAGGTCAGCTACTGTCATTTCTGAAGAACCAGCAGTAATCAAGGGGGCGGAGAGAACGAGGTCGGTTACTGTCATTTCTGAAGAACCAACAGCAAGCAAGGTGGCGGAGAGAACGAGGTCGGTTACTGTCATTTCTGAAGAACCAGCAGCAAGCAAGGTTGAGAAGCCTGTAGCCATCAGCTGTAGCCATTTTTTGCCCACGAAGCACCAAGCATCATTACAAGACAAGTCGTTATCAGACACACGGGACAACACGGGACCTTCCCAGATCCGGTCGACCACATATCACTACCAGAGCACAGGACAGATTGATACGGCTACCTCACTTACGTGAAAGAACCACTACAACCACCACTACAACCACCTCTACAACCACCACTACAACCACCTCTACAACCACCTCTACAACCACCTCTACAACCACCACTACAACCACCTCTACAACCACCACTACAACAACCACCACTACAACCACCTCTACAACCACCACTACAACCACCTCTACAACCACCTCTACAACTACCACTACAACCACCTCTACAACCACCTCTACAACCACCACTACAACCACCTCTACAACCACCTCTACAACTACCACTACAACCACCACTACAACCACCTCTACAACTACCACTACAACCACCTCTACAACCACCTCTACAACCACCACTACAACCACCTCTACAACCACCTCTACAACCACCTCTACAACTACTGCAATAGGAGGATTGCGTAGGATATCAGCCAGACAGCGAGGAACCGTTCACGCGCTGATGGTATTTTTCGCTAGATGGCCAATTTGAGGTGTCATTTTGACGGAACTACATCGTCGGCTGCTGCAACGTCAATGGTGTCAAGGTCACAACATGGTCACAACTGCGATGGAGACAAGTTTGGTTTAGTTACGAGTCACGTTCGGATAGAAGATGTCGTGCCCAAAACTGCATACAAAAGCGGACAGATTTGGTGGCGGAAGTCAGATGATGATGGCGCGCCGTCGAGCGTTGTCTTGCTGTAATTGCCCATCGTGAACGTTGAAGTGAGGCAGAACGTAAGGCTGTAGGATCAAGTCTCTGTAACGCACGCCTGTCAATTTACCTGCCACATGCACGAGATGCGTCGTACCACCGTGATGAATTCCGGCCAATACTATGACACTCCCGCCGCCAAATGGGACAACCTGCTGCACACAGTTGGGGACATAACGTTCACCCCGACGTCTGTAGACACGTTTGCGCCCATCAGCACGTGTGGGTAGAAAACGGGACTCATCAGTGAACAGTACATTTCTCCACCTTGCACGTGCCCATCTCACCCTATGTTGACATCAATGCAGACGGTCTGCCAGATGACGTGGGGTCAATACATGACGTCGAACAGGTCTGCGTGCAAAAAGTCCGGCCTCCCTCAATCTGTTGAGTACTGTTTGATCTGAAATTCTGCGTAGCCCAGAGATCTGTGTGATTGTAGACGTTGCTGTGGTAGTGCGTTCTCGTAGGTGTCACAGCCGAATGTATAGATGTTGTGCTGGCGTTGTCTTCCTTGGTCTCCCTGACCTTGGTCTGTCGTCAACTGTGTTGGTGTTGTGGTACCGGGTCCATAATGCGGAGATTGTCTGTCGGGATACGCCAAGGTGCCTGGCCACGTCTTGCTCAGTTGCTCCAGCTTGTAATCTGCCAATGGCGTTGTAACGTTGAGCTGTATTCAGTCTTGGCATTCTGTCACCGCGTCTACTGTCGTTATAAGGTCTGTATGAACGCCCGTTGATGTGGGTTTTTTATACCCCTTTAGCAAGGGTGCCACCGATGGGACAGGATACGCTTACATTTTCGCGAACGCCTAGCATCATCACTATTTGATAGCTATTCATATATACATGCTCATGATATAGTCGAAATCGTACAATCGACTCTGTTTGGGGCATATTTCTTATGAATTTCTAGGAGATTCTATTGAATATGAAAATAGTTTTGTCGCTTTTCTTGTCTATTAGAACAACAATACCAATTGACAAGGATATGGTATACTGTGTAGAATCATATCCCTAGACAATAGAAATTCAGGAATATTATCTGTATAATTTTGTTTGGGATCATTTTGAAGGTCACTTTCGGTTTTCACAATCGAACTGACCAATCATTGGTATTAATATTGTTTCGTTGAACATAATTTCCGTACTAACTTTTGAAAGTAGACCAAAACCCTTGGGAGTTTTCAAAAATATGTTGCCTTTCTTTAAACATGTACATGTATTTACATCAGTGAATCACATAAAACAAACTAAATGTTTGTATATTGATTATGATTACCTTAAATTACATTCGATACAAAACATATTTCAACTTTACTCGATTGATGATTCATATTGGCAGCTTGAAACGTAAGAAAGCCTAATGGTTCCACCTTGGTAGCATTATTTTTTTCTAAAATCGAAATTTCTTGTAATTTCAATTATATCGTTGCTTCGATTTGTGACGTTACTTCGACTATTTTCTCGTAATTTCGATTATTTTAAATAAACTTGAAATAACGAGAATCGAAATTGCGGGAAAATAATCGAGGAAACAAGAGAAAAAACTCGAAGCACCGAGAAAATAAGTCAAATTAACAACACGAAGAAACAAGAAAATAATTGAAGTTACGAAAAAAAATTGAAAATAACGAGAAAAAACTCGAAATTTTCAGAAAATATACAAATAACTTTTTTTTTTTAAATATTAAAAAAAATATATACATGTATATGCTACTAAAGTGGCACCATTAGGTTTTATCGTAGATACGTCTCACTTATTTCCCACTTGAATAAAAGATGTGCATGTATTATTAATGTTAAGCCTTTTGTATTATATGTCTTATCTTCCTATCTCCATATCAGTTTTCGTTTGGGCGACAGGGATCATTAACTTGGAGATAACTCTCTACTACAGTTTCTGCTGGGATGCAAGGTCCAGTGGCTGCTGCTGGATCCCTGTCAGTTGCATGATGGTCCTGACACGCCGACCGCAGGTCATCTCACACCGACCGCAGGTCATCTCACACCAACCGCAGGTCATCTCACGCCGACCGCAGGTCATCTCAAACCGACCGCAGGTCATCTCACGCCGACCGCAGGTCATCTCACGCCGACCGCAGGTCATCTCACACCGACCGCAGGTCATCGCACACCGACCGCAGGTCATCTCACACCGACCGCAGGTCATCTCACGCCGACCGCAGGTCATCTCAAACCGACCGCAGGTCATCTCACGCCGACCGCAGGTCATCTCACGCCGACCGCAGGTCATCTCACACCGACCGCAGGTCATCGCACACCGACCGCAGGTCATCTCACACCGACCGCAGGTCATCTCACGCCGACCGCAGGTCATCGCACGCCGACAGCAGGTCATCTCACACCGACCGCAGGTCATCTCACTCCGACCGCAGGTCATTTCACGCCGACCGCAGGTCATTTCACGCCGACCGCAGGTCATCTCACGCCGACCGCAGGTCATCTCACGGTAAAGGGTAAAGTCCTCTCTGAGCAGCCTGTCAGCACGTTTTGTTTTGTTTTGTTTTGTTTGTTTGTTTGTTTATTGTCTAACGCCGCACTCAACATTATTTCAGCTATATGACGGTAATCTGTAAATAATCGAGTCTGGAACAGAAAATCCTGTGATTGATATGAATATCGATTGGTGCAATTGGGATACGATTACATGCATCAACCAAGTCAACGAGCTTGACCATCTGCTCCCGTCAGTCGCCTCTTACGACAAGCACAGTAAAAGACCTGGATCTTCATGGGTCCTGTCAGCACGTAGGGGAAGGATTACAGGGTCAGGTAGTCAGGTTCGCTGACTGTTGATTGCGTGGATCATTGCTCACAATATTGATCACTGGATTGTCTGCACCACGTCAAATAACTGGAATATTGCTGAATGTTAAACCTCAAACACATACACATATTATCTTGTATCTGTGGTAAAAACTTCCGGTTTCGGGACATTTGAATCGGGACAATATTAAATAGATCAGGATGATTGTGTGGCTTTAGTGGTTGCCAGGGACCTGAGATCATGTAGGTCCGGCACAGCGGGGCTTTAGTGGTCGCCAGGGACCTGAGATCATGTAGATCCGTCACAGCGGGGCTTTAGTGGTTGCCAGGGATCTGAGATCATGTAGATCCGTCACAGCGGGGCTTTAGTGGTTGCCAGGGACCTGAGATCATGTAGCTCCGTCACAGCGGGGCTTTAGTGGTTGCCAGGGACCTGAGATCATGTAGGTCCGTCACAGCGGGGCTTTAGTGGTTGCCAGGGACCTGAGATCATGTAGGTCCGTCACAGCGGGGCTTTAGTGGTTGCCAGGGACCTGAGATCATGTAGGTCCGTCACAGCGGGGCTTTAGTGGTTGCCAGGGACCTGAGATCATGTAGATCCGTCACAGCGGGGCTTTAGTGGTTGCCAGGGACCTGAGATCATGTAGGTCCGGCACAGCGGGGCTTTAGTGGTTGCCAGGGACCTGAGATCATGTAGGTCCGTCACAGCGGGGCTTTAGTGGTTGCCAGGGACCTGAGATCATGTAGATCCGTCACAGCGGGGCTTTAGTGGTTGCCAGGGATCTGAGATCATGTAGATCCGTCACAGCGAGGCTTTAGTGGTTGCCAGGGACCTGAGATCATGTAGCTCCGTCACAGCGGGGCTTTAGTGGTTGCCAGGGACCTGAGATCATGTAGGTCCGGCACAGCGGGGCTTTAGTGGTTGCCAGGGACCTGAGATCATGTAGATCCGTCACAGCGGGGCTTTAGTGGTTGCCAGGGACCTGAGATCATGTAGGTCCGGCACAGCGGGGCTTTAGTGGTTGCCAGGGACCTGAGATCATGTAGGTCCGTCACAGCGGGGCTTTAGTGGTTGCCAGGGACCTGAGATCATGTAGGTCCGTCACAGCGGGGCTTTAGTATGCCAGGGACCTGAGATCTTGTAGGTCCGGCACAGCGGGACACTCTCTCTCTCTCTCTCTCTCTCTCTCTCTCTCTCTCTCTCTCTCTCTCTCAACACACACACACTCAGTCACTCAATCACTCACACACGCCGTCATATAGCTTGAATATTGATGAGTGAGGCGTTAAACAACAAACACACGTTTCTATAAGCCCTATCGATTTCTTTAGCATGAAATATTTAAACCCCTTTTTCTTATCTGTTAAATCTTCACCAACTCATTCTCACGACAGTCCCGTTCAGTCTATGAGAACAGGTATGGATCCTCGTCCCTGAGTGAATACAAGATGTTGTCAGGCACAAGGTAAGAATTCCACAATTGAACCTTCTACTTGGTGATGTTGTGAGCTCAATACACTAAGTTAGGCTTTATCAGTCTTAAACACTAATACCTCTGCGCGGCAGCTCCGTATTTGAGGGAAGCCCCGAGGTGATATGGTGAAGTGGTAGACTTTCGACACTTTTTAAAACCACGAGCGCAGGTATGATGTTGATGATAATAAAAGCGACAAAACCCTTTCCATATTCTAAAAACATATTCTCAAAACAGGGTCGATTAATAGATTCCATGTATATCATAAGCATGTGTATGTGAATCGTTGTTTAGTGACATACCAGGTGTTCGCGAAAATGCGAGCGTCTCCTGCCCCACGAACAAAGGCAACTAATTGGTCACCAGAAACAGACATGGGAGTATGCGGTACAAGTCTAAATAGGGAATTACATCGCATATAACTTTGATCAAACAACCTCTGAGCAAGAGTCGCATGACGCTCTTGAAAGTCTTGATAGCAATGTTGTGACCGGTCTATCGAAGGCCCCTATGTATGAACACGTGGAGCAAAACAGTACGTTAGAAAGCTCAGTTTTTGGTCAATACTTTCACTGCTTCCATCATTTTTGCCATGCATGGAGTGTGTTACGCCAGGAGAGTAGATTGTACCACCCCTTCACTAGCAACATGTGTTCGTATAGTCCAGGGACCGCCTCCATGGTCTAGAGGTAGAGCGTCCACCCAGAGAGCGGAAGGTCCGGGGTTCGATCCCCGGCCGCGTCATACCAAAAGACGTTAAAAGATGGTACTTGTTGTTACCCTGTCTGGCGCTCGGCATAAAGGGGCTAAAACAAGGACTGGTCGGCTTGGAGTCAGTATACTGTGTCTGAGTGGGGTATTCATGTTAAACTGCGGCATGGTATCTCAGTGGGCTAGCGCTATAAATCGGCATCAGTCCGGACTAGTACAAGCAGCCACACACACACACGTGCATGCACGTCGCTATATAAGTACAATAATCTTGGACGCGACGTTAAACCCAGTTTCACCTCACCTCACCTCACCTCACCTCACCTCGTATAGTCCACGTGGTAACATCCTTTCACCCGTGTACTACCAATGGTAATACGAAGTAATCCATTCTAGGGACTCTTCCAATCCAAATGTGTCTACATTGTCTTCCAGTCGTTGTTCCAGCCATGGTCGTGCCTCTCGCTGGGGAATACGTAATTCATAGCTATTTCGAAAAAACTTCAAGAAAAGCAATGGTGTATGGACAGATATTATTTTATTGCCATTGAATGGTTGTCCTTGGTCAGGTAGAAATTCCTGTCGAACAGAGGACCGAGGAGAGAGTGAGTGAGTTGGGTTTAATCCGCTTTTAACAGTATTCCAGTTATATTACGGCTTGCTTAATATGGGTGGAAAGCCCGAAGTGATGCAGGTCTCAGACGTTTACCACTTCGGTGAAACCCATGAGCACGGGTATGGTGCGGACAAACCTAGATACATAATCGGGGCACCACACAAATCTAATGTTTCTAGCGTTCCCAAGGGACGCAACTCTGCACAACGAATCGCGGTAGTAACATATATACTACTCAAAAGATCTCAAACCACACGATATATATCGTGGTAGGGTGAAGATCAGAGTGAGAAGAGGACTTTGCTTGTCGTAACGGGATCGGGTGGTCAGTCTTGCTGACTTGGTTGATGCATGTCATCGTATCCCAGTTGCGTGAATCGATGCTCATGATGTCAATCATTGGATTGTTTGGTCCAGACTCCCCGTCATAGAGCTGAGAGCGGCGTTAAAACTAAACTAACCATACTAATGTTAACGAGCGGGTGATCTTTAACTTTTTAACTGTATCGAGTGAATGAATTGTGTCGGCCCCCAGTGTCTGAAATTCAATCCCAAGGGAAAAAAATCGGTCAGGGTAACAACAAGTACCATCGTTTAACGTCTCTTGGTATGACGCGGCCGGGGCTCGAACCCCGGACCTTCGGGTGGACGCTCTACTACTAGATCACGGAGACGATAGAAAGAAATTGATAGAAAGACGTATGAATTGTTAGTACAGTAAAATATGTTTATAACTAACACGCTTATAACGAACTGACGGATATTACGAACTTAATTTTTTGTCCCTGCCATTTGCTGTATAGATGTTGTATATATGATTATCACGAACTATGGTTATAACATACCAAAATTAGCGGTAAATTTGCGTTCGTTATAATCGTAAGTTACTGTACTATTTACGGAGATACTTCACCTTAGTCATCCTATTCACCTTACGGCAACTTAATCAGTTTGTGACGTCAGGAACACTTAACGATGACAGTTTGTCTCATTCTCCTCAGCTGATCATGTTTGCAATATCTTTAAACTTGATCGATCTTCCCTCATGGGTAACATATTCAATTTCGCCATCAATAGATCCATGCATTCTACATAGAAATGGGTTTCCTTAAATGAAATTAATATGTTTCGTTCCATGTAAAATCATTCGCACACCTAAATACATCTGAGACACGCTTTTGACTCCCATTTGTTAGTAAGACCTTCAAAAGATATGACATTTTTATACACTCTTCAAACAAGGAAACGCACAGGAAGATTTTTAGTAAATTTATTGTACCTAATAAAGTCGATATATTTAATTTAATATCATAGATACAAATATGAAATTTTGCATCTTGATAGTCACATGTTGTCTTTGTACAAAGGCGTTTAAAAATGGGGGCACGGGTGGCCCAGTCGTCTAAGGCGCCGCAATTCGCTGTGCAGAGTTGCGTCCCTTGGGCACGCCAGAAACCTATGATTGTGGGTTCGAATCCCGGTTCGCCCCGATTATGTTTCTAGGTTTGTCAGCACCATACCCGTGCTCGTGGGTTTCAGCGAAGTGGTAAATGTCTGAGGCCTGCATTACTTCGGGCTTTCGTCCCACATTAAATTGACACGCCGTGATATGACTGGAATACTGTTAAAAGCGCATTGAAAACTGTTCATTGTTATATCACATAATGCCACAAGGTTGCGCTGAACTCAGTATTTCAGTATTACGTGCGACCGCCCCGGGCAGCAATCACGGCTCTGCATCTCCTCGACACTGAAGTGTACGAATTTTGC